AGCATCACCAACTGTAAGTACCTGGTCCTGGCTATACATATAGATTATAGACCCACACAAGAAAAAAAAATGCAGGTTGCATAATTAATTCAACCCAAAGTTTGGTCCCAAGAAATTATTAAATAATTTGAAATGAATAAACACTTAAATTTATTCTCAAATATCAATGTGAACAATAAATTAGAAATAGACCTAATTGGATGAGTTGATTAACCTAACTAGTCAATCGTGTAAACATTAGCTCATAAGATGAAACTTGGACAAGACAATATAAAGTGTCACATGGGATTCATCCGTCCTTCACCCCACGACTAATATGGGGGATCCAATATCGAGGAAATGGGATCAAATTAACATTCATTACCATGTCAAAAGTTATTATTACTGATAATAAAAGTACACCTTTGTGGGTTTTGTGATTATAGACAGGATGTTAACGTTACTTAACATAATGAATTAGAATGAGTCTGATTAAGATTATTCCAAACGCCAGCACATTAAAAATATCTGATAAATCCACTTGTCACTAGCTTTTTAATCGGAAACCCTAACATCAATAAATAACAATAGTGTAGAATTAGATTTCCGCAAGATATGTGATTGGCATATTGTCTGGTTACCATGAATATACAAATTAATGTATTGAAAAGTCAGTTCCAAATTAATACATCTGACGACTTCCTTCATATATCTGTCCCACCCCCAAAAATATACACAACATATAATATACACCCAATACATAAATAAATATGTCATTTAACATGACTTTAGCGGTGTACAAATAGACACTTCAAGATGTATAAAGTTGAACAATTACACACAGAGGCGGAGCTAGGTGGGGGTTCATGGGTTCGGATGAACCAGTAGCTTTTCCATAGATTCTGTATTTGTACTAGAAAATTAAATAAATATATATGTATACTAACTCGTGAACCCCTAACAAAACTGATTGATAGTTTAGTGATTAAGAAAGGGGTTGTGGATTTGTCTTCCACGCTAGAGTTGTGGATTCGAATCCCACTATCAACAAAAAGTTTAAGGAAATTTACAACCCCCAAACTCTGCCTCTGACTACACACATACTGGATTCGAATCCCGCTATCAACAAAAAAATCCAGCAAATTTACTACTCCAAACTCTGCCTCTGACTACACACATATTGGATTTGAATCCCACTATCAACAAAAAGTTTAAGGAAATTTACAACCCCCAAACTCTGCCTCTGACTACACACATACGTCCAGTGTGCATGACCACGTAGGACACATATGTCTACTCATGTCTAACTTTATACAAGCTTAAGTATCTCATTGTGCATATATACTAAAGTTAAAGGTCATAGATGTCAATTAAAGTCAAGTTAAACGAAACGTTTATCTATATATTATATACTTCTCTAGTTGTGCTGCACCTTTATATATTCTCTCTTCTAAACCCTTTTTTCTTTATCCTTTTCCTCTCTATATACTATATCTTCTTTTACACAAAAAAATTCATGGAGAGAACTAAAGATAGAGAAACTCAAGATTTCATGAATGTTGAGTCTTTTTCTCAACTTCCCTTCATGAGGCCAACAAAAGAAAAAAGCGCCATTAGGCTTTTTGGCAAAGAATTACTAGGTACGACTATTCGTCATGAAGATCAATCAAATGATAGTATTGGAGAAACTGCAGAAATTAACAACAACAGAAAATTTGAATGTCAATATTGTTGTAGGAACTTCCCAACATCACAAGCCCTAGGAGGACATCAAAACGCGCATAAAAGAGAACGTCAACATGCTAAAAGAGCTCAATATGCAAAATATCAGTACAACGCTTATTTTAATTCAGCGTTGTACAATACTAGTAGTACAAGTAGTACTACTAGTGGTGGTTTTTATGGAAGTCATGTGAATAATAACGGCCATAGCCATTATTATTCACAACAAATTAATCGCGATATAAATGAAAATCATCGCTCATTTGCAGCGTTATGGAGAGTACCTCATGTTCATCATAGTAGTATTAGTAGTAGTAGTAGTAATTCTTGTTCTCCTAATAATGTTTCTAATTTTGTTAGGCCAGTAGTTTATAATAATGTTGATGGAGATTTGAAGAAGATTAACACAAAGAGTAGCTCAATTTCTGTAACCAGATTTGGGTATGAATTGAAGGAAGGACTTCATCAAGATCATGTAAGTTTAGATCTACACTTGTAAAGAGTACAATCCAAGCAATAGTATCGACTCTGTTTCAATTTGTTCGTCTTACTTTTTCTTTTTAGTTTGTTTCAATTTGTTCTACCTCTTTGATTTAGATTAAAGGCGTTTTAATACATTATATTATGTTTAAGATTATAATAAGATTTCAAAATCTTATTATAGTTTCTTAAACTTTATGTTAAATTAAACTAAGAAAAATAAAGACGTACTAAAAGAATAGGCCAAGCACATACGCTATATGTACAACACCTTTAACTTGTTCTTAAATTTCTTTTTAACACTCCAACACAACGTTGTTTTGTTTTAACCCTCTAACTCCACTTCTAATGTACCGTTTGATTAAAAATATTTATGATAGTACGAGGTATCCATGGATGAGTTTGTACATTGCAATTACTATTTGTTAATTATCTTCAATCAATAAAGTGGAATTCCACCATTAAAGTTTTGGAATAATTCATTTGGGATTAGGTTATATATATGCACTTGGTTTTAAGATAAGAGCTCTGTAATGTGTGAATTCAAATTTAATCGTTTTCACTATGAGTATCAAAAAAATACTTGCTAGCATTAAAAAATTATGTGTAGAGAAATTCACATAAATTTTAAGCCATATGATCTCTATTCCAAGTCTCTCTCAGCTTCCATTGTCCTTGGTTTGTACAGGGTGGATCCAATGTTATGGTATTGGGGTTTATCTGAACACAATACAGTTGACACTGGAGTTGAGTACGTAGCTATGAACTCATGACTTTAAAAATATAAAACGATTCCCTTTTGTCATGTCTCGATTTATATAATGCATTTTTTTTCTTTAGTTTGTCTTTAAATGAATATTTTATTTCTATATTTAGAAATAGTTCAATTTTAAAATTCTTACTTATCTTTAATGAGACAATTTATAGTCACACAAATATTTCAAATTCGATAAGTATTGGTTAATCGTCTATATATTTCATTATAGTTCTATGATTCAGATCAGTTTTCGCGTTCGATTTAATTTGTATTTGATCTCATTGAATTCCCTTATTCAAAGTTAAGACTGAATCCCTAGCCGTGTAGATTAAAGGTGAACACTCATCGTTTACGGTATAAACTATATATGGTGTCTAATCTTGTCCGCTCTCCGTACTTTTACACCTCAACATCAGTAGGTTTCTTTCTTAAAGTACTTCAAATCAGTCAATTAACAATACCACATAAATTGAACCAAAGAATATACTCTACATGAAGGGTAATGTTTTCCCTTCCACATAGAGAACTTTAGAATATAATATATAATCTTGTGTCCTTTAACTCATGTAGGCAATAGTCTAAGAAATTGTTTGCTTCTCTATATTAGGAGAGTAATGGAACACACTTTAGGCCTGCATTTTTCATAAAAGGTATGAAAAGGGCAACAACAAGGAAGAAGCATAATTGGTTGAGATTTAAGACAACCTAGCTAGCTAGAGCATTGATGAAAGTGAACCTTATTTGAAGACATTGTACCTATATATTATTATTTTTTTGGTTTCTCATGTGGTGTTCAGTATTCGTATTGGGATCTGACTAAATTATCTGAGTTCATCATTTCTGAAGGTGATGCTTCCAACAAGTTTTTTTCCATTCTCAAAAGCTCGATCAAATCCGAGATATATGATTAAAGATGAAGAGATCTCAATCATCCTACACCTGTCGATTGTACCGACATATTGCTTTCAATACAATCAATGCATGTACGTCAAATAATTAATGACACTTCTCTCATGCTTTGGACCAGCTCTTTTAGTGTTCCATTACATTTTAGTCAAATATCAAATTTTCAATATTCTTCTTTCAATTGAACTATAGACAATGGAAATAGTATTTTATGTTACAACATCTAGACAATAATTTTTTGGTATATTATATATAACATTTAAGTTCAATCTTATTGCCATAACCACCACAACTATCCAATGGGTCCACTAGTAAATGCAATATGTTTGGACATTGAAAATTGAAATACATATAAGGACATAGATCTATGTTGAGAAGATAATAAAAAAGGAACAAATGAACAAATAATTTGAAATTTGAATTTAGGACCACACACTGCACCATAGAAGAAAAAATTAAAATGTATAGTGACATGAGTTTTAAACATTATTCTTTTTAGTAAATGATTTTCTCTTTTTAGATTTTTTCCCAATCTCAGACTAATTAATCAAATATTTAATCAATCGAACACTACTTAAAAATAACTCTTCTGCTCCAAAACGAACTGTTTCAAATAACTTATAGATATTTTAGTTCATATTAGTCCAATGTTTGTTTGTAATGTTCAACAATACATGATAAAATATTAGACTCGAATCTAACATTTTTTCGAAAAAGTAATTTCTCTAGAGCTTGCACAACTTATAAAAATAAGGAAACAATCCAAATGGCCATTCGCACAAATGCCCCATTCAAATTTTTAGTATTTTCATATAATAATATCTCACAAGTTATGTCTTAAAAGGTAAAATGCCCTTGACACCAAAATAACAAACAACTCTTTCGCGACGTAAGTACTATATATGTTCGTATCATAATATCCCACAAATTATGTCGTAAAAGGCATAACAAGTTATGTCATAAGTATAATTTGTTCTAGATACATTGTATCCAAGTGGACTCGTATGTATGTGAGATATCGGGCTCAAAGTTCTGAGGGAAACCCAATCACAGAGATGAAGCCCAATTAGTGAAAGAGTAATTGGGCTAAACTACTAAAGCCCATATATAATCCGGCCCAACCCAACAAAAGCCCTATATACATTCATCTCTTTTGTTTTGCTTTTTAGGGTTTCAGTCGCTTCCTTCCCGCACACACAGTCACACACTGCACACACCGGAGAAAGGCGGAGGAAAATGCCGGCCGGCCATGGATTGAGGTCTCGTACGAGAGATTCATTCTCTCGTGCATTCAGAAAGAAAGGTACAATTCACCTTTCAACCTACCTTAGGATCTTCAAAATCGGTGATTATGTTGATATCAAAGTGAATGGTGCAATTCACAAGGGAATGCCACACAAATTCTATCACGGCCGTACCGGACGTGTCTGGAACATCACCAAACGCGCCGTCGGTGTCGAAGTTAACAAGCAGGTTATCTCTCTCTTCACGTACCTGATTATTTTCATCTGCGTTTATTTGAAATTGAATTGAACAATTCATTTGCTCTTCAATTGTTGATTTGTAGCTTAAATTAGCCATCTGTTCGTATCCATTTGTGTTATGATCTCAAACAGATTTGAAGTATCAGTATTTTTCGGGACAATGTTCAGTTATATTTGTAACTCAATTGAAGATGACAGAAATAACAGAAAATTACCAATTTATTTTCAGCATATAGTTTTCTTTTAGTAGAAGTTAATTGTAGAATAGGCGAATTTATATGAATGAATTGAACTTCAGCTATTAAGAGTTTTCAGAGCCTTGAAATGAAGAGCATTTCTATATCCAAGTAAAATTCATGAATGGAGCTGTGTAGTAATATTAGCACACTAGCCGAAAGCCTCGAGCTTTGTTTGTCGAATGCCTACATGGATAACGAATGCTGAATTGCATTTCAATGGTGAATATAAGGTTCTCTGATTTGTTCATATTGAAGAAATCTGATTTTATTTCGTAAATAGCTGTAGAGTTGATGATTTTTTGAAATGGAATAGTAAGAAGTGAAGTTTATGAACACATAGTAAAAGGCTGTCAAATGTATAGATCAAATTGTCGAGATATATAGGTATAATTACATCTCGAATCATGAAAGCTTCGTAGTTTCTACTTAACTGGAGCTTTTCAGTATATAACCGAATCATTAAAAGACCTGCAAATGTTTCTCGGTTGAAATGATGAATTTGCATCATCTTTTTCTGTTATGTTGTTTCGAGTATATCTTTTTGTGGAAGTCTAACGGATTGTGAGAGTTGGTATTGGATATCTGTTATTTGGTTCTCTTGCACTAATTCATGGGATGCCTGTCTAACTGTTGTCTTACTTGTTCTGGATCTCAGGTTCGTGATCGTATCCTAAGGAAGAGGATCCACGTTAGGATTGAACATGTTCAAGCTTCCCGATGCACAGAAGAAGTCAGAGAAAGGATCAAGAAGAACGATCAGATTAAGGCTGAGGCCAAGGCCAGAGGAGAGGTTGTCAGCACAAAAAGACAACCCGCAGGACCCAAACCAGGATTCATGGTTGGAGGCGCTACATTGGAGACGGTTACCCCCATACCATATGACGTGGTTAACGATTTGAAGGGAGGCTATTGATTTTACTCTGTTTACGAGCTGGTGATCGTTTATGTTCGTTTATGAAATTGAAAGACAAGATTAGTTTTTTTGGTGTCACCTCAAACTCCGCATTTTATTTATAAATTTTGTTTACATATGAATTGAGGCCTTCGTTGAACTTGTTGCTCTTAATGCAAGTGCAGAATTATCTATTACTGCTTGATTCTATGCACACTAATTCATAGAGTTTCCAGTTGAGCTATTATGTTTCCTGTCATTATTTTATAACTTAAAGAATGAAACTCGGTTGATCGACTTACAATTATGTTGAATATATTGCTCTCAACATTCAAACTTCCAACAGGTAAAATCATTGGTATTCATAGCCACATATCACAAATAATCCAGTAATGGAGTAAGTTTATACCCAAAAATTTCTTACTTTTTGCAATTCTTCGATCTGTTGAAGCAGATTTGATTCAGAGTGCATAACCTTAGTGCTTCTTTTACAATTTGGGTGGCCTGGTTGATACTCCAAAGTATAAGCTGTGTAATGCTTATGTATTAGACTCGGGTCCTGCTGGTTTTGCAGTGAGAAGTGGTTGCAGTGCCTTGACGACTATCGTCATATTTGGTCGAAAATCTGCCTCATATTGAACACACAGTGCTGCAACTGCTGCCATCTGAGAGGAAAATGTACACAAAAGCCAGAGGAAGATGATGGTTATTGGAGTCTGATACAATGACACTGTTTAACTTTTTTATATCAACAAGTAACTACGTAGAGTTAGAGTTACATTGTTAGTATAAATAAGTTAAATCCGTGTACAAAATACTACTAGCAAAGATCAATAAGAAAACCTTAGCAATTGCTTTTGCTGGATAGTCGTTGTTTAACTTTGGATCAACACATTGCTTCACTTTGTCTTCACTCAATCTTGGAGTTGCCTGCAGAAAATTCGAGTATGAATCAGCTGACTGGTGGTAGAAATAGGTTCGATGACAGAGGTAAAGGTAAGAACCTACCCAAGTGACAAGACTCTGTTGTCCTTTGGGCATTGTATGATCTACTGGCTTTCTTCCCGTCAGGAGTTCTAAAAGAACGACTCCAAAACTATAGACATCGCTTTTCTGTGTTATCTGTCCTGTCATCGCATACCTGCACAATAGTATGGTCTTTATATTAGTTATATCTACTTCTTGTCAGTACTAAATGTGTTAACGTTTAGTATATCTATCGGAAACAGCCTCTCTACTTCTGAGGTAGGAGTAAGGTCTACGTACACTCTACCCTTGATCTTTGCTCTACCCTTGATCTTTGTGGGACTACACAGGATATGTTGTGGTTGTTGTTAACGTTTAGTATAACAATGAGTTATGTTATGAAGCTTGGTAAACAGGAAGCCAACTACGAGGAGATAAGCAGGGGATGCAATTGCAAGTTAATGCAAACTCAGAATGCAGCAGGGCTTACTCTGGAGCATGGTAGCCAAATGTCCCCAAAACTCTAGTGGAATGCAGACGAGCTGCTGTGTCGGAGGTCTGGTTTGTCAAGTTGAAATCAGCAACCTTAGCTGTAAAATCATCAAAGAGAAGTACATTGCTGGATCTGACATCGCGATGAACAATAGGTGGCTGAATTTTTTCATGCAAGTATTCGAGGCCTTTTGCTGCACCAAAAGCAACTTTAACTCTCTGATTCCAGGTAAGAACTGGACCAGGCTCCGCGCCTTGGACACCTTTTCTACCTAAAACAAAAACATCCAACATTCAACTAAAATGCATCAACAAATCTTGCATTCATGATTATTTTCTTAACGGAACGATTTCACATACCATGTAATACATCATGTAGAGATCCCATAGCTGCAAATTCATATATCAGGATTCTATTGTTTGCTTCTAGACAATACCCCATAAGAGTCACAAAATGCTCATGCTTAAGCCTTGAAACCATTGATAACTGCATAGTAAAGGAAAAAACAATCAAATTTCCTAAACATCCTTCCTCGGAAAATCATATTGTATATATAGCTCAAACGCTACTCTTTACACATATACATCAAACTTTGAATATCCCTTTATTGAAATTTCTGGCTTCATCACTTCACCTGTGTGGTAAAGTCGGAATCTGGTTCTGGTGAAGAACTAGTATCCAACTTTTTGATTGCTGCTTCCTGTCCATTGCTCAATTTAGCAAAAAATACGCGTCCATATGATCCTTCTCCGATCAAAGCCTTCTGACCAAAGTTACCGGTCAGTTTGTTTAGCTCGTCCAAGGGTAAAACTGGTATCTCGATTGGTAAAACTTTCTGTGGAGTTCCATTTCTTGTACCACCCCTTGGCTCTGCTCTGTCACTAACTACAACACCAAAAAAATGAACTTAACATTATAAGAATGCATCATATCCTAATAGTCGACAGATGTATAATATATGTATACATAGTGTATATCAGCTCGTTTGTAAATATTTTTGACTGAGCGACCAAATGTGTAACTTCTCCTAACAACAACCTAATGCTCTAACTTTCTAAAAAAGTAGTAATGTACAAGACGCGTGTCTTTGTACTTATTGATTTGGTGTAAACATCGAGTACAAGTAAAAATAATTCCGAGTAAAAACGTACCACCACCAGCGTAGGGATTGCCAGCTCTAGGAGGGGCTGTATTTTGGTTAGATGGCGGACCGCCGCTGTAAACGTCTTCTTCTCCACCTCCACAGCAAGACATTGTTGTTCAATTATGGAAGGTTCAATATCTCTTCCAAAATGTTGGTTTTATATATCAATCCATATAAATTTCAACTATGAAATTGAATTTTATATGATGCACAACAGAGTTTCCTAGGAAAAAAATAGAAAACATTAATTAAAACACTTTCAACAACAAAAAAAAAATTGAAACAATACACACATATTTTGTCAATCATGAAAATGAGGACAACATTATATTAGATGACTATCCACCAATTGATTTTTAGTGGCGTAGCCAGGAATTTAACAACGATATTCAACTACTATATGTAACAAAAAATCATTTTTGCCCTATTTATATATAGTATATAATTTTTCAACGAAGAATTGAAATCCCTTGCATCCATATGGCTCCGTTGTTGCTGACATAATTACAACTCGATGAAACACAATATTTTATATTGCTAAATATGAGAGATGCTACATACCAAAAATCGTAGGGAAAAGAAGAGCAATCAATCATGGAAGAATTAAGAGATTTGTTTCATTGCTGCATTTCTCTTTTTTCTTTTTCTTTTTGGTTTTTGCTATTTTGCTAATTTTCTTTTCTTTTTCTTTGTGTTAATGGAAAAAAAATTGTTTTTTTATGTTTAAAACGGGAAAGTCGCATGGAGTCTTTAAACCATTAAAACCAACACATTTCTACGTACTAATAAATAAAATAATTATAGTACGCGATTCCCTTCTCTTTGCACGTCCCTATATTTTCAATTATTATCATGCACTTTCTTTTATCGGTATAATCTCATAGGTAGAGTCCGTGGAAAGTACATACAATATAATATAACATGAAAAACCAATTTCAAAAAAAAGAGACCGTTTTAGTAAAAAATGTTGTTAGAATAGAAAGGGTTATTGTTATAGTGAGATCTACCTAGTTACAATCGAGGTTCATAGTTTTTGCTGAGTTATCGGGGTGGGGAAGGGGAAAGGACTAAATTGACCCTTTTTCGGGATTGAGAAAAGCCGATGAGGAACAAGCATAAAGAAATATTTATCACTTTTGTCTTAAATCTTAATCTTAATAAAAAAAGGACTTAAGCATCTTGGATTCAACTATTCAAACAGTCTTTCTTGTTATCGAAATCTAAAAAAAAATATATATATGGAAATAAATTGTGTCCAATAGGATTTGAACCTATACCAAAGGTTTAGAAGACCTCTATCCTATCCATTAGACAATGGACGCTTTTCATTCTGATTTATTTTTTTCGTATTTTAACTTTTTGTTTGAAAAAAAAACACAGAAAGAATCAGATATGAAAGAATTTTTTGAATTGTATATTCAATGATGTACTAATTTTGCTTGTTTCCCAGATACCGTCATTGCTTATTGACCATTTCTTTTATAAAGAGAACTTGGCTGAAAAATTCAACTTTTTAGACAAGAAATGAAAGGTTAGAATGACATATTTTTTCAAATGAATAAATCAAAACTTTATTTCATTCAAATTAGTACTAGTATCTTTTACATCATTCAAATTGGAGTACTATGACTTCCAACTTACATGTTTTGGTTTGTGTTTGGTACGGGGAAAAACGCTTTCCCCCATACCAAACACAGCCGCTCTCTTCTGAAGAGTCGACACTATACAATTGCCTAACTAGTCGAATGCTCCTTCCATATACGACCTATGACCTTCAAGGTAAGCTCTTCTCCATTCCCACCTGAGAAGAAAAATGCTAAGGTTCTCGGAATAATAAGTCCATCTTGACAATCGCGGATTTTTCTATGACTGTCTCTTATACTCCTAGGAACACCTTGCCATGTTAACTTACGGCCAAAACCACCAACTTCTAGACTATAGTTGAACATTTTGGCCTCGTTGTCCTCTCCCATGAATCGTAGAAATGCTATGTATACCGGTGTCATACCTAGTGAAAACGCCTCAAAATGTAAGACGAATTGCCTTCCAAAACAGTCGAAAACCTGCATTTGAGTGTGCAATCAAGGAACCATAACATAAGAGATGTGAATCCGTCTATCCAACAAAAAATGGACTCAAAAAAGTTCATTTTCGAATACTTCCTTATTTAGGCAACAACTAAGAGATCAATTCGAGGAACATGGAGGACAGAAAATTTGGTAAAACAAAAGAAAATACTCTGTTTGAACTTACTGTTAGCATCCATATTGCATTGTCAACTTGTTGTGCATTTGATTTAACATATCGATGATTGAACGTGCATCCTGTATGCATATCAACTTTGTGATCCTCCTTGAGATGCAACATGAGTGTTGGAATGTCCCCTTTTATCGAGCATTCTGATCCCGCGTAAGGACAGTGGTAAGGCCTAAATTTGCAATGTCTTTCGTGTTTGAGCTTTCGATGGTAAGGTAATATTTTGTGACAGCCAAGATTTTGATGTCTGCAGGGCAATTCCAGTGACTCTGCTACTTTCTCTAAGGCTAAACACCTTATGTTTCCAAGTTCAACTTGGCAAGTTGGACAGCAATTTTGTGCTTCAATTTTGCAGTTTGTGCATAGTGTATGACCATTTGGACACTACAAAGATTGTGTATATAATGAATATGAGATGAAAAGAATGAAATTTTTCTATCTACCAAAGTATTGGTTACTCGATTTATGTGCTAGTGGTTAGTATTTGGTGGAATAGTCGAGGTGTACACAATAACGTGATCCACAAACTGACATGAGACACTCAACCTTTATTTAGGAATAGAGATGGAAAACATAGCATGTCACAGCGAGATGAGGTTTTGGAACCTGAAAGTGAGAGGGGCGCCTCGCGAGCTGGGCTTTTAGTGATGAGGCCTTTTAATTTCGGATCACAAAATCCTACAACTGATGAGAAGGTCCTATGGAGTAAAGGGTAGTGTATATGTTGTCCCTACCTTCCAAAGGTACCTAAACTACGGGCCAACACAACAGAGAGACGGCCCAGCCCGAACACCACCACCACCATTAAGAAAATAACACTATATATAAATAATTTATGTCAGTTATGTTGTTCAGACTTTCCAAATTATAAAAAAAAATGTTGTCACACCTATGTCTGATCCTTTAAAAGACAATATTTTCGAAATGTACAAGCAACATAGTTAACCAGTTACATCATATGTAAACTAACAACAACAATAAGATTCTTCTCATCTGTCCTATCCTTGGTGGACAGAGTTATTTGGTACCTATTGCTGATAGGAGGTGACAAGTATCCCATGAAATTAGACGAGGTGTTGCATGAAAGCTGGTCTAAACACCACAATCATAAAAATAAATAAGAGTTGTATTTACCTGGTAAAATGGAGGATACATGGACCTTTTACAAATTGGACACTCAAGCAACTCATGGATTGAACACTTTTGAAACTTTTCACCAATACATGTAATACTTTTCTCAAGCTCATCATGTGTCTTTGTTGTATCAAATCTTGAAATTTTTTGCCATGATTCTACAAGTTCTTTGCAACTACTAACACCACCACCAGGAGCCATATTTTGTAAAAAAAAAACTTAGATGATATTACTTAAATTTAACACTTAGAGTTAAATAACCAAAGATTAAACTCTTATAAGTCTATGGTCTTTGTAGAAAACACTTGAAAGACTAGAAAATCAAAAAGAGGAAACAACGTTAATATTACGCTAAGAAAAACCATATATACTTGTGGAAGTCCAGATGCTCATTTTGACCGAGTATATCGTTGGAAAAAGACTATTTTTATATAATAATAGTAACAACTACGCGTCAGTCCCAACTCACGAGCAAACCAGAATCGGCTATACCAATGTTCTAAAACAAAGTTTAGATATATAGACGTTGAATCATTTAGACTTCTTCATGGGGTTATTTCTTTTTATTTTGACTCTCTTTGCTACTGATGAGTTACATGAATCCTTACTGATTATGTTAGTACTCCATATAAATTCATCTCAAATTAATATTATAGAAAAGATAAAATAAAATAAAAAATATTAGAAGTTCGTTATATTTTTTCCTGACATATAAATCTCGAAAAGTCTAAATAACACCTACAAAAAGTGCCAACTTGACTAATAACACAAGGGGGAAATGAAAATTATAACTCCATCACTAATCAACTATATAAAATCTTTACTGATCATGTTACTCTACATAAATTCATTTAAGGTTAAACAAGTTTTTTTTATGTATATATACGATATGTTTGAATCCTCTTGACATGATATTCATATTTACATTTTTATATTTTGACATTCACATTGAAAATTCTGATTTCTCTATAAGTAAATAATAAATATCGCCTATATAAATCTTTTTATTTCCTTACCCATGAAAAAGACAAAATCAGAAAAAAGAAAAAAAATACCATTAATTATTGTGTGGGGACTTGGTCTGCAATTATTTATATTCCCTCTTGTATTTTTCCTATTTGGGTAGATGAGGTAGGTACAACTTTGAACTAATTTAAACCAAATAGATTCTTTTAACAACAATCCAATGGAAATTAAATTAGAAAATAAAAATAAAAACATAAAGTTTTACTTTTCAACATATTTGTTATTATCTCAAATAAATAACAAACGACCAAACACAAAAATTTAGATGCATTCATCTGTATATGTTTAATACATCCATTTGGCAAAAAATATTTTAAGAAGACAAAGACTTGAACCAACGCTCACAAGGTTAAATTAATATTATATCGTAAGCAATAGGGAAGTCAGAAATTATGTAAAGAGCCTTTAAGATGTTATAATATATCATATATATGTATAAAAAAATAATTCAGTCTTTTTATTATCTGTTATAATTTTTTAAAAATCACATATATATTATGGCGATAGTTGAGGTTTTATAATATGTATGTGTTAAAAAGATATTATATACACGTGAATACACTTATTATGTGCACGGACATAATATATTTCATTGTTGTTACACACCCCAATACGTTCCATTCTACTACAAGAATATTATATACACGCAGATATACTTATTATGTGCACGAAGACAGTGTATTTTACTATTAATATGCATACAAATACAATGTATTCCGCTATATTTTGAAACCAAAATGCTGCTACGTTTCAATTTTCCCAAACTATAATAGAAATGAAATTGTCATATAAAGACATAGTATATTACCAACATGAGTTATTGTGCAGTGATGAGACTGTTCCACCCTTTATCAGAGATTTCGAGTTCGAGCCCTGAAAATGAAGAAAATCTTGCTGGGAGTGTCACCTCTAAATGAAGTCTGCAGTGTGCAACCTGAATTTAGTTGAGACTCCAATACACGAAAGACAGTATATTCACACAGACAATTTAATGAATTGATAGCCCAACCAGCAATCATCAGGACCACCCTTTTATGTTTTTCCTTAATTTAATATTTTCAGTACTTTTAAATGAAATCAATGAAAAGGACAACAATAAAAACAATGTTTTCAGTTTTATTTTGTCATCAAAAGCATCTTTCTTGGCTTTTTGCAACCAACTAATTTTTTTCATGTGAATTCAAAATAGGTTTTGCAGAAAACTCACAAACAACCAAAATCCTATCCTAACAACCTAAATATTCTGAGAGCAGCATACCTCCTTTCGTAACGGTGGTGTTCAGACCAGTTTGCATGTATATGACTCCATAAATACGAGAACTAATTGATAAAGCTGAAATAACGTCTATTGGTCGCCACTTTTCAATCATGTTTTCAAAAAATAATCATGGCATATCTTTAGAAGTAAATCTTAGTATCCTAGATTTTGTACGCTTGACATGAAAAGTAGAGGCAAGTGGAATTAAATGTCAAGCCTCAACCAAAAAAGGGGGACAACCACGAGTAACCAAATATGAACTAGTATCATAGGCACTTTGACAATGAAAAAGGCGAAAGAAGCAATCCGTAAAAAGATTTGGTACCACTCACTAAATTCTGTGGTTAAAAATTAAAACTCCATAACCACAACTACTTTGCAATTGCATGGAGCCATGGACTAAAAGGTGGTTGTTTGTGAATTTTTACATAATTTGCATACAAACATTAAATAAAATGAAAGATGAATAAATATCTTGCGAGTAAAGATGAGTGTACACACCACCCTCCTCAGACCCCACTTATAGGGTTACACGGAGTATGTTGTTATTGTTGTAATTAGTAAAGATAATCCAACAGAACGAGGCATATTTATAAGCCACATAACCAAGAACATGATTGAGTTATATGGTAAATCAACCCAAATATACACAAAAAGGGGGTAAATTGAAAGGAGGGGAGTAAAATCCTGGTACACTTATGGACAACAACTTGATTATTTCTCACTCCCCCCCTCCCCCCTCCTGGTGGGGGGAGGGGACGGATTCATGGCGCCAATTGGTGAGCTAAAGAGGTCTGAGAGTCTTTTTTGGGGCACTGATCCATGAAGAACCGGCGATTGCAAATCTCCACAATGCATTAACATGTTCTGGCAAAGCATACTCTATACCAACTCTTGGACCAACAAGTATATGTTCTGGTTCTGGCCCATCTAAGAGTTCTAAACCGCCTGTCATATGCATAAGAGAACGCGGGAGATTCATATAATAGTTGCTAAAAGTTGTAAGATGGAACAACAGAATGCTTACCGACTGTGAATAGAGCGTGGCTAGACCATTCTGTTGATAGTCCTAATGCTTGACCAACCTACACAGAGACACAAAGTAACACTATCATGTAAAAGCAACGTTGCGATAACTTGTTACAATTATCTTAAATAAAAAAGTCGCGATTAATGCATCTCATCTCTTTAGGGAAATGAAACATATTCAACTGATCATCGTAACTATTTTGAGGTGATATGATGGACAGTTATTTCAACCAACAGAAAATCAGAACAATGTGGAAGGTTATTCATACTTAAAAAAGTTCTAGCTCGGAAACCACAAATGTTCATGATAGAAAGACCAGTTTGTGCGCATCTCAATTAGTTCCAGAACGTATCTGTTACCTTAGACCAAAACAAGAACCCGTTAACCACCAAGGTTTCGATGGATGGGATGAAATCACCAGTGTCTTTACATGTGCTGAAATTTAATACGGTTCTAGCTAAATTCTCTAAGACAAAGCTAAATTCTTTTCACATGGGATCTAAATCAAGTAAAGCAAAGAAACTTTTGGTTATCTTTAAGAAAGGTTTGATCAATACAATGAAGTTAAACAAGCAACTTAGTCCTCTACCCAACAAAGGTCATGACGTACCTTTCCAGGACCTGCAAGAAGAACAGGTTTCTCAGTTTTTAAACCCCGACGCTGCTGAATAGTACCCAGACCTGCAGAGTTTACTTTATAATTATTGAAAGAGAGCTTTAAAATAGCATTCGAGCTTTGTTTGTTAGAGATAATATACTAGTCCAACAATGCAGGACTTGAGAGGAAAGATCATCATCTATTTCCTGAGAAGGGGAAAAAAGATCATCGTAAGTAGGGTAGTGTGTGTCAATGCTAATGTGTTCTATATAACTTGTTTGCCATTTAGCATGCAAGCATTTGTTTTTTTTGGTTTTTCTGTTCAATAAGGTTCATTTATCACGCAATAATGGGAACTCCAACGCATGAATCATAATTCTAAATTATTTACAAGTGATCATTTTAGAAGTACCAAGGTGTACTCGGGATATTAAAATAGTTATATTGGTGTAATTCTTCCCTGGCCAGACCTCTAACTATCTTGATATTGGTTGATGATATCAATTAAAACGGACAAATATTAGTAAATTTAGAAGAACCCGACAAGATATATAGCTGCTGCAGTAACTTTTCGATGGATGCATTTAACTACCCTATACTACCATCTAATTGTTTTCTGAGGTGCACACTAATGCCACAAATGTAAATTGGTCAAAATGGAAATGTTGCTTCAAAGAGTGAAAAGATCACTACGAGAAAGTGGGGTACTTCGGAAAGTGTGTGCATCGACTTGAAGTGGGACTAAAAAGATCAAATAGAACATATTAAACTGCAACGGAAAGTAAATTAGGAAATTTGAAAGGTAGGAGAGTTTGTAATTCAATTTACCGTAGATGGGAGCGCAGGAACGAATCAATACAGCAGCTCCAGCTTCTTCCTTGTCTGCTACAACATTAAGCATCATGTGGAGACCGTAGCAGAGGTAGACATATGCATGACCACCAGGACCAAACTATAGATCACAAATCATTAGAAAATCTAGAAGACACGCCCCGATACACCCATGCTAATCGATGTCATAGCATAATCTACTAAGAAATGAACAAATGTTCAGTTACAAAGAGCACCTTGAAATGTTTCATATGGTTCCAAAAAGGTAATACACCAGAAAGCCACCGACTATGCTCACCAAAGATTATGTCCAACTTAGGATCAATTTTGTACTTCAGATGTAGAGCTAAACAACTACATAAGATCGTAAATGTTTTCTTCACACAACCTAATCTATCAGATTGATATCATTACATCACACCAAATAACAATCAACTTTCTTCGTATAAGCGACTACAACCTACCTTACTCATCCAATACAACATGCCCCGTCAATTATCTTGCCTAAATTTCAGATTAGAAAATAAAGAAAGAAGGAAAAAAGTCGAACTTGAGTGAACTGCTCATCTAAAAGCTTAATCTTTTACAAAGGTAGCACATTTTTATTACTTATCCCTGCAACTAAAAACTTAACACACTTCTTCCCAGCATTCACCACTAATGTAAAGCAAATGACACAAAAATATCAGCTTTTAGAATCTTACAACAGGAGCAGTCCTAGCTGTTTTCCCAAATCGACCATGACAAGCTGAATCATTTGGCCTATAAGCTTCCACCTATCAAACAATTCATAACAAGAACAACAACCCCATTATTCAAAACAATGAAGCAGCATAAACACATTAAATCAAGAACACCAATAACATCAAAACCTCAAAACAATAAAGCAGCACAAACACATTTAATCAAGAACACCAATAACCTCAAAACCTCAGAACAATAAAGCAGCACAAACACATTAAACCAAGACCACCAATAACACTAATACCTCAGAACAATAAAGCAGCACAAACACATTAAATCAAGAACACCAATAACATCAAAACCTCAGAACAATGAAGCAGCACAAACACATTACACCAATAACATCAAAACCTCAGAACAATGAAGCAGCACAAACACATTAAATCAACAACACCAACAACATTAAAACCTCAGAACAATGAAGAAGCACAAACACACATTAAATCAAGAACACCAACAACATTAAAAACCTCAGTTATCTGAAGAACAACATCATCCCTCCTAAGAAACTTGCCAAGCAAACGTGGGGCAAGATCAAGAGCATCAATTTGGTAAAAATTTCGACTCAAGATTGGATTTTTATCCAAGAAAGCTATAAGGGTAGTGTTAATTTGAGGTATTGGGAGGTTTTCTTCAGATTCTGAGATGGGTTTTGAATATTCTTTTGATTTGTGCTTGTTTTTTAATCTTTTGGATGATGAAGCTTTGGTTTTGGTGGCAAATTTCTGAACAGTAATATTGTGATTTGAATCGTTTTTTAGCCGATGGGTTTTCTTCATTGGATTAATATTAGCATTGAAATGGCAGATTAGTGTGCAACTTTGACAAGAACCATAGCATAGGGTCATAAACTGAGTGGAAATTTTTTTTCAACTTGGGGTTTTACAAAGTTACAAAATACAAATTGTAGTAAACAAGAATTGTCTGTTGGCTTTAGAAAGGGACTTTCTGTTTGACTTGTAAATTTGTAATATAAAAATTGTACCTACAAATTACTAGTTAAAAGGAAAAAGAAGGATAAAAATAGACGATTCGAATCTCCCGTCATTAAGCCAGAGCTAGTTTTACAGCTATCGATTTGCACCCGCGGATCAATGAAAATCAATTAAATCTCGATTCAGCATAAGCAAGGGATGAGAGAGGCCTTACGAGGGCTAGGAAAGCAGAAGTGGGACAAGAATAAACCAGTACACAGAAAAAGGGTACCAAGCATTCTGGGCATTCCTCTTTTCTTTTCTTTTTTCTTCTAGGAAGTATAAATATCTCATAAAATTAATCGAGATAGCTTCAATTGAGTCGAAAAAGGCAAAAAAGAAAGGAGAAAAATAGACTATTAGAATCCCCTTCTTTTTTCTTCTACAAAGTATAAATATTTTATAAAATTAATTGAGAAAGCATTGACTTAATTGAGTCGAAAATCTTCTACAAAGTATAAATATTTCATAAAACTAATCGAGAAAGCTTATTTCATAAAACTAATTGAGAAAGCATCGACTTAATTGAGTCGAAAAATGCAAAAAAAATATCGTCGCCTGAGAGATTCGAACTCTCGCGGGGAAACCCCATGTACTTAGCAGGCACACGCCTTAACCACTCGGCCAAAGCGACACTTGTTGACTAAACCTCTCTTGCATATATACTTATATATACTATCAATCTCAATTTGTGTGACGCAATTTAGTTGAACCCGAAGTTTAAGAAATATGAAAAAGACATTTAGATATTTTTTTTAGAAGAATAGGCTTGATATATTTTTTAATAAACATTTCTCACTCTACTGAATCGAAAGACATGGACTCTATTAAAATCAATAAGTTTTAATCAAAGATTTCGAATTCAACTAACAGACATTTCTTTCATTTTCATACATGAAAGATTCGGTGAATCAATTTAATTAAATGTCACTTATCTAGATGTAGTGCTTCATGCTTGTCTCTCGAAGCAACTTCTTGAATATAGACTCATCTTTGCTAGAATACACTTTATCTTTTGAGACTTTTCAACGCGAATTAAAATTTAATCATACATCACGGACAGATAAATAAATAAATAAATAAATAAAAGTTGAAAAGCAGGTGTCATTCCCATAGTTATCTAATCCATTACCTCAATATAATATTATTGTGAGTGCTCTTCCCATTACACACATGGTATAAGTGGTTTAGTTCATGCCTAGGTTGAAACCTCTAAAACGACATGCATGCGTATGTTTCTTTATTTACAATTTTTTAATTTTCATCTCGTGTTCAATATTTATATTGAAATCTCGATCAATTAAATTTATGTACGCATTGAAGAGTCTCATGTTAAGGTAAAGTCTTTCTTAACAGAAGCGACTCTATATTTAAGAGGAGGATAACAATTTCTCTATTTTTATAAAGATAGATATAACATTTGTGCATATCTTATCTTTATCGGATTCTAATTGAGAGAAAACGCAATAAATTGTTGTTATTATTATTTTTGGATAAAATATGATAGATCTGAATTTCTCTTGAGTCATTTTCTTTTATTGTATTTCTAGAAATCCAATTAATTTTTGTTAATTAGTTGATGGAGGAAAATTAGGTGTATTAAAGAAAGACTTGTCCTTAGATCCTTCTTTTGTCATTTTTATCAATTAAATAATGGTGGGGTATTTTCAATATCAATTTTTTTTCCTAATATGAAAATTTTCTGATCATATGGTTTTAATTGATATTGAGTGCTATTTCAGAATTTTAATTACGTGTAAGTTTTTATTAACAAAAATTGTTTTATTAGGCTACTAATAATGTCATGACAATCACAATCCTATATTGTTATAGATGATATGCTAGCTAGGCACTTTATTATTATAAGGTAAGAAAGGGATTTAATTTGACACAATAATAGATTCATAAGGAGGGGGTTTAATTAGCCATAATGATACATTTATAAGAAATTTGATTTGACATAATGTTTGTACCATATCACTTAATTATGATTAATTGATAATTACAATTTATAAGCAATAGAGACAGTCTTGTATTATTGATTTTACATGAATGGTAGGTTCAAGAGTCAGAGTTGAATCTATCGAGCAAGCATAAATTCAATAGCTTTTGTTCAGATATATCATATTATAATTAAGAAAATTACTTTTAAAAATAAATCTCATTGAAACCGTATATATATGATTAATTCTTCAAAATCATATCACATTTCGAATATGATAAAATAAGATGAATTGAGATGCGATTTTATGAAATATATTTATTTGGAATATATTAATTGTTTCTTTATATTTCGGCTAGCGAAAAGAAACAAAAGAAAAATCTTGCTATTTCTTCAATAATTTCTGTGATTTAGCAAAAGTCGAAGTATTATTTTTTCACATATATTAGTAGTATAGTTTTGGCACCGACAAATATGCCAAAATAAAAACCTATACAATTTGCACCAAACATTCAGTCCACTAAAAAAAATAATTATGTGGCATTTAAAGTTTGTGACCCTGGAACAGATCATACAAGGAGAATATTTATGACAATACAATCAAACTTATTTTTTATATTTATATATATTGAAATGATTTTTGATGATTAGATTTATCGATAAGTGACGTCTGGAGAGGATAGTTAATACATATTTTACTCTTATTTTGTAGAGTTAGAGATGTTATTTTTGATAACTTCTGGATTCAAGTAAAAGATCTTAAAGCAGTTTGGAAAATTAAAAAAAATAAATTTTGATGAGAGGATTGTCCATGTCCATATTTTTTTTTCATCTGGTGTGGACTCTTCAACAACAAAAATGAAAATGAAAGCAATAATAACAATAAAACAATACAATAAATTAGTGTAATAATCAAAGCATGAAAAAAGGAGAATAAAATATTCTTTGATTGAGATTTAGTACGTTAAATAAGAATTGTTTTACCAATATGGATTGTGGTGTAGTAATGGAATTGCTTCATCCTTAACCAGAGATTTCGAGTTTGAGCTCTGAGTATGAAGAAAATCTTGTTAGAAGCATTACCCTCGAATGGGCTCTACAATGCTTGATTTGAATTTAATTGGAACTCTAGTGTGAGATTTAGACATCGAATGAAAAAAAAAAAAAGTGTTCAATTTGTTCCTTTTGTGAAATAATATATTGTTTGAAGTGTAGTTGAAAAGTGAAAGGTCAATCTTTTTCAATTTGTACGGACATATAGCACCTTAAGATTCACTCTACTTTTTCAAAATGTTTGTAATTTTATAATTTTGATTATATTAGGAGTTTCAAGCTTTATGTAGTGGAATGATAAGTATATTTTTTAAATTACTAATAATTTTGAGTTTGAAATTTGAGAATATATCACTATAATAAGGAACATATTTATTTAATTTTCCAACACAAATCTACATAATCAAATTGTGATGCAAATATTGGAAAAAAATAAACTTTAAAATTGATTATAATAACATAATTATTATATCAAATAGCTAAATATTATTTCTTTCTTTCACAAGTTCATTGCCTAGTCCAAAGGGTTATTCATGGATTGCGAAAGATATATTCGAATTCCCTCAATAAAAAAATATTACTATTATATACTATAAGGTATTGTATAATGCCAAATTAAGTAAAGCCAGAGCCGCACCCAACATATACACGTGTAAGCATTCTGTGATTTATTATTTTTTAATTAATTAATTAATTAATGCTAATCTTCGTGTATTAGTTTTTAATTTTTAGTGATTTGGAGTTGTCTCGCCGGTATTATCTCTGATGGCAGCCGGCGGCACCGGCAGTGGCATTCTTGATATTAATCTCAAAACAAGTGGCATTTTACTCAAACTGTAAACACAACATTCACATAGTTTATAACTTTCACTTTTCCCAACACGAAGCTTATGTGAAATTAAAATTAAAAAACATTCCTCAATTTGATTAATATTTCACAATTAATCTAAAGATTCATTTTCATTAATTATTTTCTCTTTTCTTGTATGGATACATTTTAGGTAAAAGCTTTTCCTTCTTTACTCTCTCATATGCATAAAAATACTATCCTCGTCATCACAATTTATATGATATATACTTAAAATATGAACCAAATCATATAAACAATAACAGAAAAAATATAATTTTTAATAATAAACTTTTTGTTTAACGTTTTAAATATGATAATGTATTACTAATATTATTATTATTTTGCTTTTTATATATGACATTTATTTCAAAATTGGCCTAATTAGAATTCTTGGCTAATCAAATTCCATTAAAGGAAAGAAAAACAATCAACCTCTTTTTCAAATAAATCAAATTTTAAAAAAGATCTTCAACCTATTTTATTCTAATAATAAAATCTCTTCAAAAACAACTCAAATTTGAAAAGAAAAAAAAAAAGACTCTTTAACCCTTTTAATTCTGATAACTCGAGGTCTCAAACCCAAAATTTTGTTAAATGAGATAAGTATTAATTAAGTTAAGATAATAAATAAATAATAAAAATTTCAAACTCTTTAAATTTAATTATGGTTTTTCCGTTACTCACTTGTGTTATAACTCTTCTAAATTTGTTTCACATTATAACACACACATTAAAAAGAGTCCAAAATCTCTCTCACTTTTTTCCTTTTTTGATTTTACATATAAAAATAAAAGTTTGTTTTGTTTCTTGATAGAGTTTTAGAGCAGAACAACAATGGCAGAAACAGCAAAATATGCAGCTATTAATGGTGGAACTCTGTTTACAGACATGAAAACTCAGTTGTCTCTTCCCAAAACTAAAAGAACTGTGGCTTGTGCATATGGGTTTGTGTTTATTTTCATTGTTGTTACTACTTTCTTGGCGTTTAGTCCTTCACCAAACTCTTCTTCACCATGGTTTACTAACATTTTTTCTTT